CCTTAGAAGGCTAGGGCCAAAATGTTGGCTTTCCTTGTATCCCTCCTTTTTCTCTAATTTTGGTCTGCAAACTTAGGTTGTTAACCATCCAGAAGAAAAGGCAATGTGTTAATTATTGAAACTGTCCTGCCAATTTTGTTTGAAACTGTCTCATTGCTATTTGTTTCTCAATAAAATTGAAAATATACTAAAAAAAGAAAATTGGAGTGAGAAAAAATCACATATGCTTATATTATGTTTAGTATTTAGAATTTTCTATAATTCCACAAACATTTAAAGAAGAATCTCCAGTAAGACTTGTATACCAATAGAACAAAACCTGTGTTTCAGCCCCTGGCCTTAATTTTTACAATCAGATCAGACATTTTTTTTCAAAAAGGGTTAAGATTAATATACATCATTATGTGTAAAATAAAAATCAAATTATATTACTTCTGAGTAGTATGCTGGCCTGTTCTGTGGCACAAAGGAAATAATATAAGTCATATTCATTTGAGCCTGTCTTATTACTCAAGTTAAAAAGAAAAGAGAGAGAGGACGGTCGAGATAGCTCAGAAGCATAAGCACCTGCCTAGCAAGTGCAAGGTCCTGACTTTGATCACAAGTAACAAAAAAACAGAGAGAGAGAGAGAGAGAGAGAGAGAGAGAGAGAGAGAGAGAGAGAGAGAGACAGAGACAGAGACAGAGAGAGAGACAGGAGAGAGAGACTGGAGAGAGAGAGACAGAGACAGAGACAGAGAGACAGGCAGAGAGAGAGAGAGAGAGAGAGAGAGAGAGAGAGAAAGAGAGAGAGAGAGAATTGAATGTCCTAAGACACTAAGGTCTTTGTACTGAGCTACACTCCAACACTTTGTCTGTCTGTCTGTCTGTCTGTCTGTCTGTCTGTCTGTCTGTCTGTATCTATGTGAAGCAGGGTCTTGCTAAGTTTCCTGATCTGGACTTAAACTTGGGATCTTCCTGTCTCAGCCTCTTAGAGTGCTAGAATTACAGGTGTGTAGCAGCACACGCAGCATAAAACAGCCTTTAAATACTTTTATGTGTCAGTTTCCTGCTGTTGCCTTCAGCTGTGTTCCTGGTTCTTCAACTGCTGTACTGCTTAGCAATGTACAGTCGCTGACTAGTGATTACAGACTCAGGCAAACAGTCAATCCTTAAGTGTGCTGTTAATGAAATCCTGATCTTTCCCACAACTGGAAAGATCAGAAGGAAACTTCTGGTGTCTGAAATGACTCTGCACTTGCTTGCGTTAGGTTTTAGGTCCCCTTTCCTTTCTGTTCTCTGGAGACAGAACACAGCTGTTCAGCATCCTTTATAGGAGTGTTTTCTTCTAGAAATTTCCCAAGGGCCATTACAAAGTGTGAGAACTATTACGAGGAGCACAGAATATTTGTATATGAGTCACTTTCCATCTGCATATAGTTAAGCGCACTTACAGAACAATAGTTATCAAATAAAAAGGCAAAGCAGTGCACTGATTACTTCACTGGAGACTATTATTTCGATTTCCGAGTGCTTTTTATCCTCATGTGTAAGAGAGGACTGCCTTCTCAAGAGTGCATGGCATGGTGCCTTCAGCTTCATTCCTCCCAATTAATGCAGAAGTTCTAGAGTTACTCATGTTTTCAAATTGGAGAATGGGCTAAGGTGCCTGCTACTGGCCAGAGGTGCTAAAAGTATCTTCAAAAACTCATGCTTCCAATGCCATGCAAGATGATGAGAACAGAAGGGACAGTGGGGCAGGTGGGAGACTTCAGGTTAATCAAAGGATTAGTGAGAGTGGTTAATCAAAGGATGGCGATAGCGGGCCTCCGTGCACCCCAGGGTACAAAAAGCGCCCATGACAGGAGTCTCCAGAGGCTGCCACATAACGGAAAAGCCTGGAGGCAGATGTTTTGGTAAAAGCAAGCATCTGAAATGTGCCGTTTTACATGTTCCACTCTGGAAACCCCAGGAATTACAAAGCTATTGGGGTCAAGAAAGACACCATGGCATTAGTGAAAAGAACTGCTGCCATTCCCATTTCCTGAGAACACAGGCTTTGGGCCTAGGTTCTCATGAAATGCTATGGCCTCAAAACAATACAACTAGCTGACTACTTCAGGAAAAAAAACAAGCTTTAAATGAATTTGTTCCCAACTGGAAACACTGTGACCTGGTTTTACAATCAAGTGATCATTTTAAGATTGCCCAGAGACTTTTGAGGAATGTGTTTTCTTTATAATGATCCCACAAGACTATAGAGTGGGGGAAGAAAAAAAAAAGACAGAAATATGGGATTACCATTTGAATGTAGCTTTCCTCCTCTTCTCTCGAAACAGGATTGGAAAAAAATCTTGCAGAATTAATACCATTTCTTTCTGGAGAAAGAAAGCTGGTTCGATTGCTAAAAACAAAAATACAGATGAGGTCAAAGCAATGTCTTACAGCTGCTCTGGAAGGCAGCCAGGAACTGACGGGACCCCGTGGGGTTTCAGCCCCCACACCTCCAAACCCAACTTCCATCCAGCCCAACAATTCCTAAAGAAACAGACTGCCCAGTAGCCCCATCCCAGGAAAGAGCATGGGGCTCCACCGCCCAGTCCTTCTATATCACACAGCTCATGAGCTCTGAGAAACACCAAAGCATCACGTCACTGAGCAAAAACCAAAACACTTCTTCGGGACCCTTTTGATTTTGACAGTAACCAGGAAAAGCAAGAAAGTGCCTCCATTCATCTGATAGAAAAACAAGCATTGGGGATTGATTTCTATCCTTCTCTTGAGTCAGAAGCAAAGGCTGAGTGCCTTTGCAGTTTTTCTGGGAAATTCTGGTTATTGTAAGTTTCTGCTTTACAAAGTGTCTATGTTCTGTGGCACTTAGAGTGAGCCAGGAAACTCCTGGGCCAACCTCAGCACTAAAAATATAGCTTCTTAAAAGGTGAGATGAAAGAGTGCAGACGCATGTTTACATTTGTGTCTCTAGCCCAGGAACCCTCCTGCCTTTTCTGAGAGCAGCACTTCTTCTACCCTAGTCACAAAATCAGTCTTTGAGAAGTCCTTCTGGGAGACCTGATCCCAATCCCTGAGCCACAGCGGATTTCAATCTGGCTGCAGTCACACAATTCCATCTTCTCAGGAACTGAGGTGGGACTGAGAAAGAGCCCATCTCTGATGACACTGCAACTGAAGCATGTCACCCAGCTTGGGAGTTACGGTACATCTTTGGTCAGTAGGGACTGAACAACAAAGAAAATAGTTCCGGAAAGACAGAGGAATGAACAGATGTGAGTGGTGGGGCAGATGTGAGAAAAAGAGAGGAAAATACTTCGAGGTCCCAGTAGTACTCTATTTCCTGGTTCTAGTATCTTGCAAACCCAGTTGCATTTCTTCCTTTGTAACTTATACACAACTTCTGGCTCTTGATAGTAAACTTGGGCCTTCCCTTGATTTACTTAAGATCAAGTGGGCTTCCACTACAAACAGGTTAAGTAAGACCAGAGGTGTCTGGGCCACTTTGGCAACCGGTGGCTTACCAAGGCACAGTGCAGGTCCTGGTTAGAGATGTGTGCTCCCGGATGATGGAGAGGCTTCTCAGGTCCAAAGGAGGCGGCCGCGCTACAAGACAGTGTACCACATGGTGGTGAGTTCTCAGGCCAGAATCTGAAGACTGGGAAACAGAGGCGTTCCACTTTTCTAGCATACCAAGTCCAATTTACTAACAGGAAGCACTGCTGATGAGAGTGAGTGTCACTCTTCTGCTTTTCCCTGACTGTTGGGCAGGAGGAACAGTTACCAAGTCATTGGTCACTTTCCTTCCTGGAGGTAACAAGAAGAGGCTATACATTTAGGCAGCGCACATTTATTGAGAGCTGACTGCCTGTCGGTTCTAGGTGTTGGAGACACAGATGAACCAAAGAGATCCGGAGCAATCCCAATTCCCACCTCACATTCGACACGTTGGAGAGGCAGAGATGATCGCCACACTGTAGTCTCCCCACCTCCAGACCTATGTCCACTTGATGCGTCTTCTGCCTCGCACAGTTTTCCCTGTATCTCTGTGCAGTTACTCCTCTTCACATCTCAGCTCACTGTTCTCTGCATAGAGATTCCTCCTTTGAACTCCAGACAAGATCAGACCCCATGTGACAGGCCTCATGGCTTCCTGCACTTCTCCTTTATGGCTTTTCCCCAGCATGTGATGAAACATTCATCTGCACTCGCTTGACTCACGCCTAGACCATACATCATGACACCAGGGTTTTGCTTATCTGTCCACTGCAAAAGCCTGGGCATCCAGAGAGGCCCTTGGCAGCTGCCCTCATGGACCCACCCAGCTGCTTCAGTAGGACTACGGATCATGCAGCCCTGCTTTCTCCTGGACGCACAAGATTTCTGTCACATTTACCACCAGTTACCTACCAGCTTCACTACCCTCCCTCACATACCTTTGAGTCCATCAAACACTTTCTCTATTTCGGATCCTATACAATTGCACTGTTCAAATTAGTGACCTATAGCAACTATACCAGTATATGTAAATGTACTGAAATTAAATAAAATTAAAGTTCAGCTGTTCAGTCACACTAGTCACATTTCAAATTTTCAACAGTGACGTTTCCATCATCATAGAAAGCTCCGTTGGATGGTATTGCTATTAGAAAATTAGTTGAGGGCCAGAGAGATAGCTCAGTGGTCTAAAACGCCTGCTTAGGCAAGCTTAGCCAGACTCCGGGGATTGTGGTTCGATCCCTGGCACCACATGCTGTGCCAGTCCCAGCCTCAGGATGGGCTGAGCCACAAAAAAAAAAAAAAAAAAAAAGAAAATTAGTTGAGCAAGACGACGATACCTGTCTTAAGGCTACAGGCTCCTATGGAATTGTTTCTGACCAGAACAGGTAGTTATGTCCTCTACACCTCATAAGACAATCCATTCATCTCATGATCCTTATTTTTCTTCCAGGTGGTTCTTCACCTTCCTCCCGCTCTGAGTGAAGAGCTCTCCTTGCTGTCCATGCCGGCCAGTGCCTAGCACAGCACTACACCTGTGACTGATGCCCTGACTCAAGCCCAGAGGGGTGTGAGCAGGTGGATCAGGCACAAGGAGGGGCTTAGGCAGGAGGTTTGAGCATTCCTACCTCCAGTGGCAGTTTTTCCAAAGAGCAATGAAAGGTGAGGAAAGGCCAGATGGGTTGTCAGAGATCCCAGTCATACCGAATGCTCCCCTGTGTCCACACAACCCACTGGGCAGGTGAGGGATGGGCAGAAATAAAATGAAAAGGCCACTTTGCCATGCCCCTTCTCATTCCCTCTTATTCCATCTCCCTGTCGGTCCCCACTGCTGAGCAGACCAGGAAAGCTGCCTGAGGGGAGCAGTACAAAGCTGCAATCTTCTGTGGGTGCACAGGAGTCAGGCTGCCCCCTGCTTATGCGCTCTTCTGTCCCCAGTCACCTCTGCTCAGAGCACACAGGACATGAATCAAAGGCCAGGAGCTTGGCACTGAGATTTTATTCAAGCATTGTCTACATGAGGATTCTAGACAGGTTCCATTCTGATCTAGCCTCACTTCTGATCCATCCTCACTTATTCTGGTCCATCTCATTTATTCCTGGGCTTTTGTAAGGGAATCAGTCAAAGAGGAGCCCCTGAAATAAAACTGGATTCACAGGCTGCAACTGCAGGACCACAGCACCCAAAAAGTCCCCTAACTCCCTTGATCACATTATAGAGCAGCAAAGTGCTCCCACCCTTTCCATTCTATCCCAGCCACATCTTGCTCACCCTTGTACTTTGCAGCAAGTACAAAGGATTGTCTCTCCAGTGATACCTGCCCAGGCAGGCCTAGGCCTCTGGTACACAGCAGGCCTGGCCCAGTGCCTTACCTTTCCTTTGAGGCTTGAGGTCTCTATTCACTGGAGGAGGTTCCAAGTCTGCAGGTAGTTTGGGCAGTAGGCTTGAGATGCTTCCTGAGCCCATCGGGATGTAGTCATCCTGGCGGCAGAGGGGGCCAAGACTAGATGCCATGGCCTGGGGACTCATGGGTATGTAGCTGTCTTCAGCGCTGGCTACAGCTGTGGGGTACATTGGGGAGCACCTACAAGGCTGCAAAAGAATAAGTACAGGTTGGAAAATGCAGATTAGTCATGGAAACCACTAACAGAGGGAGCTGAGGCTGTGCATATGGTTTCAGTTCCAAATTGCCTCAAAGTAAGTCTGAACATCCCAGGGAGGTAGAACAAGCCATAACTAAAGTTCTGTCTATGAACTCAATGTGTGAGTATGGGTGCTAAGTCTCCTAGACTGCAGCTATAAGACTGAGGGCTATGAATTTATATAAACGCTTTAAGTCCAACATGGGTTTAATGGGAACCCCAAGTAGACAAATGTCTTGACCATTAGAATTCTTTCTGGAGTGCAGTGAGATAGCTCAGCAGACTAAGCGCTTGCTTAGGGCAGTGCAGCGGCTAGGGTTTGATCCCTGGCACCACATGCCACGCTGGCCCTGCCCCGGGCTTGCTGAGCCAGGGATGGAGTCCCAGCATGGTGGTGCATGCCTGTGATCCCAGCACTAGGGAGGCAGAAAACAAGAGGATCACTATGAGTCCAAGCTGCGTAGTGAGGCCCGGCACAAAGAAAAAGCAGAATTCTTTCTGGAGCCAAGTCCAGGGATTTCCACAAACAGTTCAAGTCTTAAAGTGAGACTCGAAAACTCTGCACAGAGTCAGAGTAAAGAACCTCAATAGAGTTGCAAAACGTGGAACTGGCTGTTTTCACTTAGATGGAAGCTTAAAGTGACCCAACTTACCAGATTTAAACTGAGCCGCTTGTCTCGGTGTCTTAAGGATTGGCCTTCTACATCAGCTGCAAGAAATGAGGTGGACAACACCAACTGAAACGGGTCCGAGCCTCTCTACACTCCAAGGACCACACGCGCAGCTCCAGAGAGGAAAAGAAACATAACACGTAATTTCTGTGCATGGGCTCCTATTGAGTCTACCTTGGCAATGAGAACAAATTCCCACACAGACAGCAAATCAGACCAGACTTTGAAGTTTCTATTTGGTGGCTTCGTGTCTCCCTGTGATTGAGGAAGAGATACAGTAAGCACTTTAGTCCCTTTCATGTTGCTGAGACACAACACCCAACACCTGCAACTTACAGGAGGACAGGGTTACTTTGGCTCATAGTCTCAGAAGTTTCAGAAGTGTCAGTGTTACATGGTTGGCCAGCTCCTGGGCAGGAATGACATGGCAGAGACACATAATGGCGCAAAGACTGCTTGTGTCACGTGCCCAGGAAGCAAGGAGAAAAGGGAGGAAATGAGGAAAGAGGCCACAGCCCAGTGAACCACCAGCACCCAAGCCCCACCTCTGAACACGTGAGGCTTTTGGGGGACATTAGAGATCTAAAGCACAACAGCAAGTAATTACCAGATGTTTGTTTCATTGCTCACAGGAGCTCAGAGATGGGCAGGTAGCCTAGGGAGGAGAGACGAGAAGTCTAAGCTATGCTTTGCAATGAACAGCAAAATGAGCTGAATAAAAAAGCACTGGCATTGGGGAGCAGTGCCAAGGGCCCTGCTGAGATCTGTGGGCATGAAGCAGAGACAAGCAGCCATAAACACTAGCTGGGTACTGGCATGCAAAGCGATGACGACTGCGCTGAACTAGGATTAGAAACAGGCCAGACGACTGCGACAAGCACTGAGAAGTAGAAAGTTAGAACAGCTGTTGACTTGCAAGAGGAAATGTCCAGAAGGTATACCATTCCATAAAGGCCAGCATTATGCCCAAACCAAACACAATGTAAGAAGAAAAGAACCTACAGAACAATATAGCTCATAAGCATAAATGTAAAGTTTCTCAACAAAATATAAACAATATATGTAATCCAACACTACAGAAAAATAATTATATACCATAACCACATGGGACTTACCCCAGCTAAGCAAGGATTATTTAACATTTGAAAATAAGCTAACATAGCCCATCACATAAAAAAGGAAAGAAAAACCCATGATTATCTCCATAAATAAAAAGCATTGAGCACAATCTAAAACCCATTCATGAAAAAAAAAAAAACCTCTCAGTAAACTAGAATGCGGAAGAACTTCTTTAACATGATAAAGAATATCTACCAAAAATACCCCAAATAGGTTAGATATACAGCTACTTTCTCTTAGTTCAATGAGAAGAAAGATTTGTACTGATAGTGTTTAGACAAGACATCATGTCTGCATCTTGTACTCTGAATAACTACTACGAAGACAACACTATGCCATTTATTAATGATTGTAACTGTCCTACTAAACTGCTTTGAAACTGTCTCATTGCTACTTCTTTCTCAATAAAATTAATAAAAAAATTTTAAATAACAAAACCCTATTGCCAACATACTTAACAGTGAGAAAGTCAGAACTTTGCCCCTAAATCCAAGAATAAAGCAAGTGTGCTGCTTCTCCACAGTGCTTTTAAACACTGAACTGAAAGTACTACTTAAGTCAACAAGATAAGCAAAGGAAGAAAAAGGTATGCAGACTTGGAGGGAAAAAAGAATCTGTCCTTGTTGACAGATGACATGATATGTAGAAAGTTTGAAAGAATCAGCAAAGAACCTCCAGGATATAAGGTTAATATTCAAAAGACAACCACTTTCTATATAACAGCAATGAAGAAGTATAATTTGAAATGAAAAATCCAAAACCACATTTGCACTGATACCTCCCTAAATTGAAATTGACTTATTTAGTTATAAATCTAATAATTTATGTACATGAGGAAATGTACAAAATTCTGATAAAACATACTGAAACTATCAATAAACAGAAATTCCATATTCTTGGATAGGAATACTCAATAGTGTTAATATGTCAATTCTTCCCAACCTGATCTATAGATTCAGTGTAATCCCAATCATAATTCATCCAGATGTTATGGGTATATGAACAAAATATTCTTAACATCTATATGGAGAGGCAAAAGCATATAAAGTATCAACATAATATTCAAAGGCAAGAACAAAATTGGAGAACTGACACTATTCAACTTCAAGGCTGACCCTATAGCAACAGTAATCAAAACAGTGCAGTATTCATGAAAGAACAAATAGATCAGTGGACCAAGAATAGAGGACAAGGAAATAAACACACATGAAAATAGTCAACTGATCTTTGACAAAGGAACAGAAGGAATATGACGTACAAAATATATCATACTTGCAATGAATGGTGCAGGAACTCAACATTCACATGCAAAAACAGAATCTAGAATTAAATCAGAATGGAGTACAGAACTAAATGTAAAATGTAACACTACCCAATTCTTGAAGATAATGTGGGAGAAAGTCTAGATTAGTTCATGTTTGGCAATGACTTTTTAGATATAACACCAAAGATATTATCCATGAAAGAAATAGCTGATAAGCTGGATATCATTACAATTTAAAATTTCTTCTCATTGAAATACATTATGAAGATAACGTAAAGGCGAATCATACATGGCAAAATATTTACAAAAGAAGACACATTTGATAAAAGACTTCCATAAAATGTACAAAGAACTCTTAAAATCCAATGATAAGAAAGCAAATGACCTTATTAAAAATGGCCCGACATCTCATGAAGGACTATATAGGGATGGTAAGGAAGCCTGTGAGAACATGCTGCACGTCATATGTTGTCAGGGAGATAAGGTCGTGTGTGCCGGGATGGCTGAAAGCCAGAACATGGACCACTGTGTGCTGGTGAGGCTATGGCGCAACAGAAACTCTCCCTCCTTGCCAGTAGCAGTGCCAAGTGCTCATGCTGGAAGGCCGCATGGCACGTGCAAGAGAATGCAAGCGAAGCGTGTGTCACGCTAACCTCGAAGGGGATTAAACCCTTCTGAAATGTGAGGTCTGACATCCTCAAACTCCTAGGGGATCACACAATACAGGGGGGAAGGTCGTTGTGTCCTTAACCTTGGCAGTAGAGCCTGGATAGCATACCAAAAGCACAGATGAGAAAATCAAAAATAGGTAAGTGCGACTGCATCAAAACAGCATCTGCACAGCAAAGGAAACAACAAGGTAAAAAGGCAAGGTGAAGACTGGGAGAAAATATTTGCAAACCACTTATATGATGAAGCATTAATATTCAGAATATACATAAGGAAAATCTCTCAGTAACCAAAAGTGGCCTGATCTTAAAATGATCAGCTGACCTATGGGGATAGTCCCAAGAAGAAAACCTACAAATGGCTGGCCAACATATTATCAAATGTTCAGCATCCCTCATCATCAGCACAATTCAAATCAAAATCACAGCATGATATCACTTCACCCCATGAAGGACAGCTAATATCAAAAAGGTTGAAAACAGCAAGTGCTGAGCAGGCTGTGAGGAAAGGAAACCCTTACACATGGTTGGTGGGAAAGTAAACTCACACAGTCCCTATGAAAAACAGCATGAGGTTTCCTCAAAACATCAAAACCAGCATTATGGTCTGATCTAGCAGTCCCAGTCCTGAGTGGATACCCGGAGGAAATGAAATCAGTGTCAAAAAGGCAGCACCCGTGATACGGAATCAAGCAAGGACGTGACAGTTGGATGGGTAGAGGAAATGTGGCATGCACACACACGTGCACTTTCACACAATTACACACAGACAATTTCCATCTTTATCTATATCGATGCATGTATAGGCACACATGGCAAAGAGTATTATTACCCATGAAACGAGGGAAGTACTGGGCTACGGGGGTGGCTCAGTGCCGGAGCAACTCCTTAGCATGCACAGGACCCTGCATACAATCTGCAGCACCACTACAAAAGAATATTCTGCAATTTGAAGCAACATGAGACTAGAGAAAAAAATCCACCAAAGACTGAAGGCTGCATTGTCCCACTTATTTATGAAGCCTAAAATGTCAAACTTGTAGCACGGCTGTTGTCAGGGGCTGAGGGCAGTGAGGACATAGGGAGACGCTGGGAAAGGTTGGGAAGGTAGCACGCTCTGGCGGTCTAACATATGGGAGGGTGGTGATGAGCGTGTCAGTGAACTTGTGTGTCATAATCACTGCACAGTGCGTGCACACAGCAAATCATCACATGATATGTCAACATACACAATCTTGACTCGTAAAGTAAGTAGTTTTTAAAAAATAGCTGTATAAATGGTCGGCTATTTCTACCGACCTACTGTTCGTCGGTTGGAAAACTTGATATTTCTACAATGTCAAGCCTTCATGTATGGAGGTCAGTGGGGAAAGGGGAGCAATAAACCTGCCCTGCTCTTTGTGCTTCAATCTAATTCATTTTATGCTTTCTTTGGCTTTGTGTAAAAGAATACAATGAAGAATACAAAATGAAGCTGATTCGTGTCTGCCTTCAAGTGGAAATTATGCCAATACTTTATTCTTACATCAGAGCGCTTGGGTTCCTTCTCCTCCTTTTTTTTTTTTTTGCGGAACCGGGGATTGAACTCAGGCCCTTGCATTTGCCAGGCAAGCACTTATTCTACTGAGCTGTCTCCCCGGCCCCTCTCCTCCTTACTCTATTATTTTCCTGGTATTGTCAGAAGGAAGACAAATGTGTAAAAGTGCCATCACTGGGACCTCAGGAGAGGTCTCTGCCGGACTGACTTATTTCTTCAGTCCTAATGAGAGATTTGAAAACTAATTTGCATTTCTTACACTTTCCATAATTCCTTTAAAACATGGCTTTAGTAGGTGGTGGTGTGAAGGTGGTGATTATATTTATATGGATGGAGAGAGAGACAGAGAATTGGTTCTCGTGTCTGTCTGTGGATGGGGCCACCCTTGGTTGGTCAACTCATGGCAGAAAGGTACAGAGACCTGGAGGAACAGTGAAGAAGAAATCACCCCAAGGTCACATTGAGGCTGCTTGTATGAACTGGTACCAAGCAGCTTCTGAAGGCCACAAAGGCCTGAATGGGAAGAAAGGGGTGGCACAGGAGATGGAACTGTACTCAAATTTCAAATCAACCTCATGAAGATGATGGCTTTACAGAATGTGCAAAAGAAGGCTCTGAGAGGGTGTGCCAGAGGCAAAGCTGGGTCAGAATCACCCTGATGGGGGAAACTTGCTCAAAAGCCGCATCACTAATGTACAGGCAGGAACTAGAACGAACATGCCAAGTGGGGGGAGAAAGGAGCACAGCCCGTGGGATGGTTGAGTGATGTAAGGATCTAGGCCTAGAGTCTCAGGGCTCACTACGCACAGCAGGGGCTAAGAAGGGAGTAGGGCCGAGCTGATGCAAAAGACATCACCTTCTGTATCAGTTGTGTCCTCTAGTGACTCGGGACCAACGTTAGCAACTCAGAGGCAGCTGAGGGGCCCACTACTTAGGCAAAGACACATGTGGAATAACCCGTCCCAAAAAGCCAGGGCTCCAGCTGTTTGCACTGTGGACAGCAAGCCTAGCATTTCTCCCAGTGGCCAGGCTCAAGGGAGGATGGGGATACCCAGCAGCAGGCCAATATCACCTTCAAGCTGTGCACTTCGTTCAGGGGCACACTGTTGAACAAGGAGCACTGAGCAGTGTCCTCATGTGGACACAGGCGTGAAGAAGAGCTGGACGCAACAGTCCTATTCAGGTTCCCCGAGGCCCAGATCACAGCATTCGACACTTACCTTTCCAGGCCCTAATGTGGTCTAAACCAGACAGAGAGATTCTCCTGGGTACCAGGGTACATTCTGGCTTCCTGCTGCTGCTATCCCCAGTCCGTGACAGCTGCTCTTCTGGGCGTGGTTCAGAGAGGTGGCTTGGCTTGGGGGGGCGGGGCGGTGGAGTGTTGCACATGATGGCTAGTTCTTTTGCCCCATAGGGCAGAGAAACTTGATTTTTATCTGCCTGATTGGTGGAATGTATGGATGTTTCCAGCAGCGATGAAGAAGACCAGTGGTCCCTGGGCGGCCCATCGATTTCTCTGTTCCAGAGCAGAGCAGCCTGGGGTCTTGTGGAAGGCACCTCCTGAAATCCATTCCCATAGCGTGATGGGTACATCAAGTTACTGGAGGCTAGTGACTGCAGGCCATCCACAAAAACATCATCAAACGAAGTCTGTTCCAATGAGCGGTCTGAGTTTGAGCAGCTATCACATCTGGCGGGAAGGCCGAGGGAAGAAAAGCATGGAAGTCTGGCTGAAATGCACTTCTCCATGTGCCACAAAACCCACACTGGCCTATTCCCATCCCTCCAACCCCGCCTTTGATTCTACTTGCACAGCCACATTCCCACTGCGACCCTCAGTGTGTAGGAAAAAATGACTTACACGTTTTTTTCATCCTCCAAAGTAAATATATACATGATAGAAATGAAAGCCCCAATTCTGAAATATGTTATCATTCTGTTTAGTATAAAGCTTGTCTTTCATGGTGGTGGGCTGTGACCTGTCCCACGTTGACTGTGGCAGGGGAGAGGTGAGGACACACCCACTAGAAAACACTCCTACTAAAAGCGCATGTGCTGAGGCGCCCGGAGCATGTCTCGGAGACAGAAGCCACGGGGCGGGGGACAGCAAAGGGGCAGTGCACAGAGGCAGCTCGCAGGAGGCCGGGCTCACACTCTGCCCAGCACAGGCCTACCTCCTCGGCTGCAGTCTTCCAGTCTTGCAGTCGGACAGAGCCAGGTAATCAGGAAGGAAGAGAAACCCTGACTCACTCCTGCTTTCCTCAGCAGCTGTGGCGTTAGTGCTTGGGTCATCGCTTGGCAAGGAGGAGCTGGCAGCGCGGGTGGCAGGAAGGGAGCTGGCAGGGCACGGCTGGAGGGAGGGAGGTGTGTGAGCGAGGCTCTCCGTGGAATCTGCTGGAGAAACCATTTCCCAGCTTAGTGTTTTCAGAACAGCTCTAGCACTCACTCAGAATGGCTCAAGCAGCATGTAAGAAGCCAAATAGAAGATGCAAATCACAGCTGGTGTTTGTCCTGATGGAAGAGACCATTTCCCCAAGCTATAAACAATGTCTGGGAAAGAAGGCCAATGTTCCAACAGAGAAGTGTTGAATCAATTAAGAGTAAAAAAACAACAAAACAAAAAACCAACGTTCCTGCCTAAAAATCTGTAGTGAGTCCACACAGTTCTAATGGCTCTCTGCACTAGCCCTGCGTCAGTGTTTATTCACTCAATAAATATACACATATGTACACACATATACTTCTGCATAACAAATCTGTGTGTATATACTCACATACGCACTTATGCAAAGCTGTATGTACACATGGATCCATGAGACATGATCAAAATCTAGTATATGTTTACATTTTTAAAATTTATTACAGTAAAAGACACAATGCGATGAATCCTCCAAATCCTCTGTCCCTTTCACCATACTCATCCTACCATTTCTGCCATTTTTTGAAGGAGCAGCTTTAGATGTTGTGTTGTGTCTGCCTTGATGTCCCGAACCACTTCACAGTGTTGCCCCTTCACGGTCATTTTGACTTTGGGAAGAGCCAGAAGTTGCACAGTGCCAGAGTTGGTGCCTGAGGGGAGGGCCGGCACTCCGTGACGCTCCTGGGGCCTGCCTTGCTCTTGGCTGGTGCTCAGTGCACTGTTCACTCTAGTTTTGGCTACATCTCATAAAGACACTCAAGAGAAAAGACTCCAGAAGTGCTTCAAAAAGTGGCCAGAATGATGGGATAAGTGTGATGTGATGGAGTCCTCTGGGGGTGTTCATGACACTTCTCCTTTACTGTAATACCTTTTTATTTAAATATTCCAGGGCCAGGGAGATGGCTCAGCAGAATAAGCGTTTCCCTGGCAAGTGCAAGGGCCTGAGTTTGATCCCCGGTTCAGCCCCCCACCAAAAAAAAGCAAAAATAAACATTCCCATATATTTTGGCCATACATGTATATGTACTCCATGTACCATTTCAGGTAGAATTTGGTACTGTCTGAGGTTTTAGGTACTCACCATTGGCCTTTGGAATGTATTCTCTGCAACTAAAGGGGGCCCACTATATGTGCAGAGCCACAGAAGGCCATCCCAACGCTGTTCTCACGTGAAGAGCACTTGGCCCATATATTCTCCTCAGAACTGAGGGAGAGGGCTGGAGGGCAGTTTCCTGGCTCGCTCCAAGTCCATGCCAGAGAGGGCCTTTCTGGTTCTACCCGACGCCTTACTCAGTCTTCTTCCTTTTGGATTATTACGTACACCTGGCGTACACCCGTTTGGGGACAACTCTCAGGTGAGGAAAGAGGCAGAGGACACACAGAACAGAAGGCACCAATACGCATGTGCTTTGGGCTGAAGGCAGGGATTGGGGTGTGAAGAAGCTGCTCATGGAGGCCAGGTTCAGCTTATCACACTCGAGCCAGAACAGGCTACTGTGACAACGCAAGTCAGCTTCATCTGTTATAGCGAGGATAAAAGAATTTGCGATCCCATCATTTCCCTTTGTCTGAGTCCTCTCAAAGCTCAGCATTGTGCTGAATAGCCTCACTGAATAGGCTTCCCGGGCTCACAAGAGAAAGGGACTTTATCGTCAGCAAGAGCACGCTGCGACGGTCAGACGCAGCTGTGGGTGTCCATCGCCACCTAGTGTTACACACAGGTATTACGGGGGCAGACAAAACAGACAGTAACTATAGACTGTAAACTACAGGACTTAAGAGGTAAGATTTTTCTTTCTACTAGAATAAAAGGCCAAAAGAAACCACATGCAAAAGCCTATATTTGAATGCAAGTATGGTATGATAATGCCGATACATAACAACTACATGTAGGAAGGGATGGGAAGGGCCGGGTGCATGTGTGTGTGTCAGAAAAGAAAGACAGCCAGCCACAGACAGCCACAGCCAGAGAGAGAGAGAGAGAGAGAGAGAGAGAGAGAGAGAGAGAGACAGACAGAGAGAGAGAGACGGACAGAGACAGAGAGACAGAGACAGAGACAGAGAGACAGAGAGAGACAGAGACTCCTCCTGGGTCAGCTGCCCCCATGGCCCGCAGATATTGATCCAGATAAGATATAAAGCTCCTTTCTCCTGCAGAAATCTGCACCTCTCTGTGTGATCCTACCTTGTATGTTTGGACATGAGTCCTAGAAGCAGGTGAAAGAAGGCTATTTCTAGTGCTGGTGTATTTAGTCAGAACAGCTATGCTATGAATTAGCCCGCCCGGATACCCTCAGGGCAGCAGGGCTGCCATCCTTCACCACGTTTCTGCAGGAGCTCCTACCTGCACCGTCCTCCAGGCGGCCCAGGTTGCACACCTGACTGATGCTGTGCACCCACACCTGCATTTCTTCCTCCGTCTTGGCCACCAGGTAGAATGTGCGGGCAGTGGTCTTGACAATAAACACAAAATTGTTCTGGAACTCCTTCCGAACGAAGCCAGGACCCACATGTTTCCACACCGCACACTCGCTGAGGTCTATCACACGGATGGGCTTGCTGGAATGTTTGTTCCGGTAGTACTCCAACACATCAGGGTTGCCACACATGCGGCCCCGGCGGAGGACAAACCAGCGCTTGCGCCAGGCCTACAGAAGCAATTGAACAGGGAGTTATTGGATGAACTGCTCCTGTTTCTCAGGCTCTGCCCAGAACCTATGTAGTGGCAAGGATGGCAGGAAAGAAGAGACTCAGCCATTCCAATTATAAGACACTTTGTATATGCAGGCAGCTGTACCATCTATTCTGCTTTATTGTATGATTTCGGGCCAGCTCGCTGTTGGGAGTCTAGTGATGGGACTCACACCCTGCCTTTGTGCCTGTGGGAATCCCTTACTCGATGCAGGCCACTGGGCCAGTCTCCATGGACAGCCTGTCTGTACTTTCCACTGTGGTCACAAGTTGACAGCAAGGCTCTCGTCCATCAGAGACTCTCAGGGTAGTAACTGGCAAGTGGAGAGATTTATAACGCTGTGGTTTGCTTTCCCTTATAGTGGTAAGTGTGACAGCAGGAAGTGCAGGCTTCTGCCATGAGGTACGGTGACCAATGGAACAGGAAGTCTTTTGTGTCTCTAACTTCATTTATGCCTGACACTTGTATAAGCTCACCAGCTCTGAACATTTGGAGTGTCCCCTGTCTCTTTCCTGCTCAGGCGACATGAGATCCGAGGCAGTAGAGAATCCAAAGAAGTGCTGAAAAAGCCAAAGCAAAGGCTGGGCATCACAAAAGACCCAAAGCAGGCCTCGGAATGAAAAGCCCTTCCAGGACTCTGGCAACATGCAGCGCACAAGAGGGGTGGCAGGGTGCCGAGGCAAGGGTCCCCGGCTTTGTGACACATATAGAGCTCTGAGAAAGGCCTGGTCCTTGGGAGATAGAAGGCAGTATGGTCAAATCCCCATTTCTAAGACAGAATGAATAACAGTATGTTTGTATGTTCATGACGATGACCTAGGAAGGAGGGAAAAAGGACCACCTCCATAAATTCCTGTTGCAAAACAATGGCGCTGGACAGGAGGAGTGAAGCCCTAAAGATGAGGGAAGGAGCTCATCTTATTCTGCGGCTTGGAGGACAAGAGGTGGGGCCTTTGGCATCAACTGCAGTGACAAAGGGACTGCAGAATGGCATGCATACCTGCTGAGAAAAGCATCTATGGGGCTCCTGGGGTACCCCAAACTTTCCAAAGGCCACTCTGGTAGGGAAATGTGAAGAGGAACTTCGTTGAACTTCCCAAAAATTGCTTACAAAGAGGAACTCTAACTAAACCCAGAAACAAGTTTCATGCTAACTGCTCTTCCTGCAGGGGGAATGGTACATGTAAGTGCATACTGCACTGCTCGGTCAGCAGTGGTCTGCTTTGGAGCCCACCCATATGCTGGACATGGTGCAGCTGCGGGGAAGACACGTTGTGCAAGCCACAGGCCCTGCCACTCAGTCTTGTGGGCAGCAGGGGAAGTGGGCAGGTAGTTAAACAGACAATCGAAGTCAGTGAGATGAGTGCTACGATAAGGGGAAACCGAGACTCTGAGGGACACACAAGGGAGAAGCCTCTGTCAGATCAGTGTTTGGGGGAGGCTAAGCTGGGACTGAAGCAGGGCAGAGACAGGGGCATGTGCAAGGTACTCAAGCCAGCAAAGGCACAGCACTCAGGGTGAGTAGCTTGGTGGGGCTGCCAGGCACATGTGAGGAGGCAGAAGGAACAGAAGAAGAGTCACACAATAACCTGAGTACTATGTAACTGGGCCCTAATGTTAAACTATGCAAAATCTCCAGCATGGTCTTCCTCAGGGTTTTGAATATCCACTTAAAAGCTATGATTATGCAAAAGCAGAGAAAATGTGTCCTTGGTACTCTCTGTTAAGAAGGTCAAAGTCTCAGCTTCTTCAGTGGATAAACATGACACAAAACTTCTGCATAAGACACAGAATAAAAAAGCAAACTATGACTGCAAAAGATATTTGCAAACCACTTCTGATAGAGGGGTCATAGCTAAACTTTAAAAGGAACTCTTATGACTCCAGTGCAGAAAAAACCCAAAACAATTAAAGTGTATGAAAGAGCTAACCAGGCACAGTGGCACATTCCTGAAGCAGGCGGATTACATGTCTGAGCCCAGCCTGGGCAACTGGGTAAGTTCAAGGCCACCCTAAGCTACACAGTGCCCTCTCTCAAAACCAAAGTGAATAAAAGACCTGAAAGAAATTTCTACAAATAGGGATACAGCTGTGGCACAAGCACCTGCCTGGCAAGCACAATATCCAGAATTCAATTCCCAGTACAAAACAAACTAGCAAAAATGTAAAGTAAATCCTAGAAGTTTCTGTAAATAAGACGTACAAATGGCTAATGGGTAATAGCAAGATGCTCGATATCACTACTCCTTGAGGAAATGCACATTGAAACCACAATAAGATATCATCTCACCCCAGAGGGTGGCTGATAGCAGAACAAGTGCTGAAGAGGGTGCAGAGAAGAGGGAGCCTTTGTGCCCCGTGGGTGGGCACATGAACTGAGGCGGCCACTACGGAAAGCAGAATGAAAGTTCCCACAAAAACTAACAGAACCTCCGTATGACCCAGAAATCCCTCTTCTGGATATATCAAAGTATGTCCAACAACAGAGAAACAGAGAAAGCAAATGTAGTACAGTGACACAATGGAGTACTACTCTGCCTTGAATCATTTGTAGGAAAATGGGTGCACCTTGAGACTACAGAGCTAAGTGAAGTGCGTGAGACATCCAAGCCTCAGCAGCGCACGGTTTCTGTTGAATGAGTAACGCAGATCGTAAATAAAGAGCAAAATCAAAAAGACAAATAGTAGGAAACAGGAAGACAGATCTTCTGCAAATGCAAAAGGGATCAAGAAATGGAAGGAGGGGGAGAAAGGGAAGAAAAGAAGCTCCAAGATAGGGCATGTCCACGTGCTGACTGCCCACGAGGAGTATGATGACTAACAGAAAATAAAAAAATAAAAACAATGCAAGTAGGGCCGGAGAGATGGCTCAGTGGAATAAGCGCTTCCCTGGCAAGCGCAAGAGCCTGAGTTCAAACCCCAGTTCTGCAAAAA